TTATTTCACCCAAAACCTCTCTCTCTCTCTCTCTCTCTCTCTCTCTCTCTCTCACACACACACACACACACACACACACACACACACACACACACACACACATGCAGAAACTGCACTTGAATGTACTCACCATATTGAGACAAGCAAACAAGCGCAGCGGGAGTCGGCGGGAACCAGTACCTGTATATGACTACTAAGGATTCCTTAAACCACCAGTACCTTTCCCGCGTGGGAAAATAGGGAAAACTGGCAGTTTTCCCAAGCGCCTGAATTTTCGGAGGTCAGGCCCGACGACGACTGCCGTTGAAAAATCTGATCAGCGGCCGTCGTTTCATTTTGGCCGCTGCAAAGGTCGGANGCGCCTGAATTTTCGGAGGTCAGGCCCGACGACGACTGCCGTTGAAAAATCTGATCAGCGGCCGTCGTTTCATTTTGGCCGCTGCAAAGGTCGGACGCCTACCCGAGGCCCGCTATTTTCCCAGCGGGAAAGGTACTGGTGCGCCTGAATTTTCGGAGGTCAGGCCCGACGACGACTGCTGTTGATAAATCTGATCGGCGGCCGTCGTTTCGTTTCGGCCGCCTACCCGAGGCCCGCTATTTTCCCAGCAGGAAAGGTACTGGTGGTTTAAGAACTTCGGACCACTCCGGCCAAAACCTTAAATGGGGTACACTGCACACATGAGCGCTAGAATCGCTAATGCAACTGCCAAGAAGCCCAAGGGGATTTCCCATAAGGGAACTCGTTATGTGAACCCCCCCCCCCCTTCCCTTTACATCATCATATCAGGACTTGAATTTCCTCAAACAACCATCATGTGGAACACACCAGGCCTGCTCTTATGCATTTTCGCCTTGGTCGTGCCCATGGACACGCATACCGGACTCATATAACCTACCATGCAGCTGCCCCGATGGACAGGACAGGCCAGTTGGTTGTCCAGACGTCTGCATCATGAGCATGGTTATGCCCTCAAAAGGCAACAACCAAGACAATGGCCGTTTGCGTATCGAATTACGATGCCCATCGCCATTCCCGGGTATTCCCGCACATAGCGAGATTACGAGACTCATATTCGAACCTCAGGATGCTTTTTGGACTTCATCTTCATCTCTTGTGATTGAGAAATGAGAGATGGACTTTCTTCTTTCTCTCTCCACATATAATTGAGTCTAGAGAGTGGGTAAGTAAACAAGATCACTTAGCATAACGGAGCTATCTCTCAGTGTTATCCATAACCCTGTGTATCATCGGAGGCGGCAACAAAAATTGCACCGTCTTCTGCTTCCACTGCTTCACAGTCAATTACAGTGATGAAGATTAACCAGTCAATGAAAACCACTCCTGCGGACACAGTATCACTTATCATCAGACCATGGCGGCACTCAAAAATATAGACGCATGAGATCCAGGCCCAAGGACAGAAATGAAAGGAAGAATGCTTGGATACCAAGCAGACTCGCTCGTCCAGTGTGTCCGCGATCTGATCCAAATGTCATCCTGGGTATCTCTTGCTATAATAGGCACTAGAGGGCTAAAACCAGCTGCTAAGGCCTTCACACTGTCATGAACTGTGCGTAATGCAGATTGCCACCCTGTGAGAACTCCATTGGAAATAGACAACAGACTGAGAGTTCAATACAAAAGAGGCCTGAAGTCGGACAATGGACCCAGCAGCACTACAGATACATTCATGGCGAAGTATATATGACAATCTAGAAGTATATATGACAATCTAGCTATGTATTGGCGCTTCGAGTCTGCTACGTGATAGTAATTGGCGAGTGACAGTTCACTACAAAAGAGGCCTGAACTCGGGCACTGGACCAAGCAGCACTACGGATACATTCATGGCGAAGTATATATGACAGTCTGGTTATGTATTGGCGCTTCGAGTCTGCTATGTGATAGTAATTGGCGGAGAAGTCCGGAGATACATGACACAGAGCTTCTTTGCGGATCTTGTTTGGAAATAAAAGAAAAATTGGGTTCAGGGTATTCCCTAATTTGTCACAGAAACCTAAAGCTGTCAGGCGGTGATTCACTTTCCGCACATCACCGAGTAAAGTGACGTGACCTGCTTATGTTCGTCGATATTGGAAGGCGACGAAGTGGGAGAGCTCGGAGCGTGTAACTATGCGCAGAACCGTACCCATGTGTTTCTCCCTGGGTACACTGCCACAAAGGCACAAAATGTGTATGCATCATAATGCACGAGAATTCAGTGGTGCACCGGAGGGACAAAGGAAAGGAGAAGTGAGGGGCGGAGGAGGAGGTTGGATGGGGCAGGGCGATGAACAGGGAGGGGAGGGAAAAGGGGGGGGGGGGCGAGGAAAGAAAAACATACTTGAGCAACGAAATTGCTGACCACCCTTCCATCATCAATAGACATCCGTGGCCCGTAAGTATTAAAAATCCGAGCAATTCGCACCTGAAAATCCACAATGAGTCCACAGGGACATCCACGGACCATTCACACTTAGCAACCATTCTCTCCGTTCCTCCTCCCACCTCTCTCTCTCTCTCTCTCTCTCTCTCTCTCTCTCTCTCTCTCTCTCTCTCTCTCTCTCTCTCTCTCNTCTCTCTCTCTCTCTCTCTCTCTCTCTCTCACACACACACACACACACACACACACACACACACACACACACACACACACACACACAGAGGCACACGCGCACACACAGGCGCACACTCATGCAGAGTCTCGTGATCCTCAGCAGCAGAGCAATTCTACTCCCCTTGGTCATTACATAACGAGTTGCAATCGTCATCACCATCATCATCAGCATCATGACGGGAGACTACGAGAATTGCACGGCTCCATATCATTCCACCCAACCCCGCTCCAAGCCTTTTTTCGGCTGTAAGCAGAGCCACCTAAACCAGCAAAACGATTCCCACTATTAGACGCCCAGTTTAGGACTTCTACACAATCTCACCGCAACCAAACACAGTCCGGCAACAACATCCCGTCTTCATCCGAATAGAATGCCCAGTCATTGGCCAAGAGGCCTAGCTCAGTTGGTTGAGCACATAAGTGTTACACAGGAGGTTGTGGGTTCCATTCCCCACAGCATCCATTCAATTCCCCACGCCCCTCTGCGTGGTATGCTTCGGGCTCACCAACCGAGAAAGCCAGCTTGTCCCTCCTGGTTGGTTGTGGAAGTATGTGAATCTGCTTTCCAGCTCGCACCAGGTGTTAGGAGCCTGGGTACTGTTCCCAGGATAGAACAGCCCGCGGGACATGCTGAGGCGGAAAATCCGGAGGCCGGGAATCCAACCCATAACCCCAGCGTCCCCTGCTAAGCTATAGCAGTACATAGGTAGGTAGTGGGAGGCATATTGAGAGAAGAATATAGGTTAGCTTTTGACAAAAAAAAAAAAAAAAACGTCCAGTCATTTATAGCTGTGTTTGCCGCAACTTCCAGTTCAGATGCATCAATAATGCCTGGGCATTATAATTGGGTGAAGACGGTAGAAGTGTCAGGGCGTTTGGGTAAAGACGGTAGAAGTGTCAGGGCGTTGTATTCGCTAATTGAACTGTACACAGTACACAAGACAAGCCACTGCAGGTAGATACAATCCATCCACAATCACCACTGGGACCAATACGTCTCGACAGAAGGGCGTTCTCTTCAGGTGAGGACGTCCACTCAAAATCACCATAAGGAGTAATTCCCCTGTGCCAAAGCAGGACGACACAGTCCATCAGCCATTATCGTTGGGAGGAATACAACGGTGAGCGCATGCTCCGTGCATCCTGAACTTATAGTCTGAGAAACAAAGGAGGCAACAATAAGACATGCTAAAATAGCCACCACTCTTGTTACGGACTTCGCCAGGGCTCGATCCCTGGTCTATCTTTTGCTGTTTCGGCTACATCCCGTTTTCGGCCTGGCACCCTTTTTCCAAACCCCTCCTTTGGTACCGTAGGATTTTGGACAACTGGCGCCATGCTGCAATTCGG